AAGGATTCAGACTCCCCAAACCCTTCCCTCCCAGCCTCTGGGGTGCCCAGCCTTCCCCAACCAGCTGGTGTCCCTTACAGCTGTTAGCCAGCTGGGCTGGGACAAGGGACTTGTGTATTTCATTCAAGAGGGGCTCGCTGGGTCTGACTGAGAGGGAGTGGGAAAGTGGAGGGTTGTTGGAGAATTCTTCCTGCAGCTGTCAGGTGTGTCTAGAGGGAGTTGAGTTGGGGGTGGGAGCATCTCTCAGTCCCTTCTCTGAGCTGGGGTGGGAGGAAGGCAGGCAGAGAGGATTGACAAGGTGACCAGAAGCCTGGAGGTGTTTGTATCATGATACTGTAGAGGTGGGGGGTGACAAGTGACCAGACAGGGTATGTGTGGTAAGGGGAAGAGGATGTTTGTAGAACTTGTACTGGCTGGTTTGGTGGGGGAGTCTGGGTGTTGTGAGCTGAAGACAGGGTTTCCCTCTTGAGGAGGGGAAGGAGAAGTCCCCTTGTTCCCCCACCCCCACCTCATCTCTTGACTGGGCCGTCCCAGCTCTGCCTCCTGGCTGGCTGCCAACTCCCTATTTCCGTCGGGCACCAGGGCAACAGGGACACATGGGGTCTGAGCCAGGAGCCACACAACTAAGCTTGGGGGCAAAGGAGACAGAAGAAGGGTCTCTGAGGAGCCTGCCTTGAGGGAAGGGGTGTTACCTGAACCTCGGAGCCTGGGAAAGGGGCTATGGAATTCTCTGCCTCAGGGCCAGTCACCCATGGGACTGAAAGATTCAGTTCCTTTGGGGCCTGACACTACCCTTCCCCCCCCTTGTCCCCACCCTCATCAAAGGGGCTGTCTGGAAGAGTGGGGGCTGGGATGGGAGGCAGGAGACAGGGGGCCTTGTGTACAGTGAGGGGGGGGGGCTATGGGTGACTGGGAGGTCCAGAGGAAGCACACACTCTCCTCCCCCACTCCCACCCTCATTCCCACCGACCTCTTGGCTACGGTTCAGAGAGGTCTTTTCTCAGCCAATGCCGGAGCTCCTCAGTCTGGGAGGGGAGCTACGGAGGAGTGAGGGCTGGAGCTGTGACCACTGAGCTGGGCAGTGGGAGAGACAGAGACCCAGAGACAGCCTGAGAAGGACAGCCAGCTGAGCAGCCCGCTTCCCCAGACAGCTCTGAAAGAGTCCTGAAGCAGGAACAGGGAAGGAGAGCAGCGCACCCACCTCCTCTGAAGTAGTTTTTGGAGAGTGGGCATGTTGGGAGCTTTTGAAGGAGAACCCCCAGTTGCTTTGTCTTTGGTGGAGCTTGGGAGCCTGGAGGCTCCCACATCTTGCAACTCTCATCAACTCGGGGTCCTGGAGTCCCATTGACCTCCTCACAAGGACTTGGTTTTTTGAGGGTTGAAGGGGTTAGGGCCAGCCTCAGAGATGCTTCGCCGGTTCCCTGGTCTGGAGTTTTCCTTCCCTTTCCTGACTCGGCTTCGACTGCGTCTTTACACAGTGAGTAGGGGGACAGCAGAGAAGGTGGGAGTATACTCCCCAACAGTATCTAGCCCTTGGGTGGTGGACAAGAAGAAAGAAGGACTTGGGAATTCTGGGTTCTAGTGTCAATTTTGTGTGGGAATGAGGACTGTGATCTGAGGGGCTTCTTGCTCCCAACCCCCTTTTCTCCTAACCTGTCCACCCAGTACTGGTTTTCCTCAGTGGTCGTCGGGAGTTGGGGTGGGAGGGTGTTATTAGAAAGAGGTCGGGGTGTGTGTGTATATGTATGTGTGTATACATTACATATTTACATATATACTTATATACATACACACAGACTTATATACATATACACATACACACATACATTATATATACACACATATTACACATTATACATACATATACACACACATCATATATTACATATACATGTACACATAAACGCATACATTATATAGGTATATATGTGTGTATACATACACACACACACACACACATATATATATATACACACACATATACACACATATATAAATATGTTTTGCATGAGGATGTGTACCCATAGATGTGACTTCTGAGATCTCATGAAAGTGCTAGCTTTCAGGGAGTGGGGTTGGTCTCTTTCCTCAACAGACCTTTTTTTGTCCAAAAATTCTCTTCTCTTTCTTCTCGACCTGCCTGCACAAATTCCTTCACTGGGGTTGAAAAGTCATTCTGGGCTGGCTTGTGCAGCTTTCCTAGCTTCATCAGAGGGAGCTTCCTTTAAGACTTAATACGAGGACTTTTCTACAAGGACTTTTCCAGGTTCCTCCCACTGCTGGTGCTTCTCTAAGATCACCTTCTGTCTGTTGTTCCGTCATTCAGTTGTGTCCGACTCTTCATGACCCCATGTGGAGTCTTGTTGGCAAAGATTTTGGAGTGGCTTTGCCATTTCCTTCTCCAGTGGATTAAGGCAGGTGGAGATTAAGTGACTTGCCCAGGGTCACACAGCTAGTGAGTGTGAGGCTGAATTTGAACTCAGGTCTGACTCCAGCCTCAGCGCTCTATCCACTGAGCCACCTAGGTGCCTTCATCTTCTGTCTACTCTGTATCATCTTAAAAATACACAGTTGTTTGCATGTTGTATTCCCTATTAGAATGTGAGCTGTCAGAGGACAGGGTTGGTGTTTTTTGTTTTTTGTTTTTTTTCCCTTCTTTTGTATTATCAGAGCTTAGTATGGTGTCTTTCACATAGTAATTGATTAATTACTGCTTGTTGATTGACTGATTGAAAGCAGTATCTCCTTTGGCCTCTGACCAAGGCTTTGTGGCCTTTCTCAGCAGCTGCTGTCTTCCTTGCTTCTTGCCTCCATCCCCAAAGAGAGCTGCATTGTCCGGGACTGTGGGAACAGGGAGGTGGCAGGCCTGGGAAGGCTTTGCTGTTCCAGCTGGGACAGAGCAGGGGTGCTGTGTTTATTAGCAGCTGGGAACATGGCAAACCTAGAGGTTGGACCAGGGCAGTCCAGATATTCCTAAGAGCTTTGCTGTGAGAAACAGACAGTGATGATGGGAACATTGGCTATCCTGGAATCAAAGAATTTCAGAGCTGAGAGTTTAGGGATTGCCAAGTCAGTGCCCTGATTTGAGAGGAGAAAACTGTGGGTTAAACTTAGAAATGAAGTGGTTCTTCTCAAATATTTTATTGGTGTCATTTGTTCTTTTATATCAACCATTTCCCAATATAGTGACCTCCCCCCTCCCTGGAACAAAGAAAAACAATTCAGCAAAGCCAGCTGATAATGTTTGTAACATTCCACCCCACTAGCACCTCCTCCATTTACTACAAGAAGTATGTTTTATCTCTTCTCTAGATCCAAGGTGGGCTATGGCAATGAATCTGAATTCAGCTGTCTTTTAGTGGTTTTCTTCTTAGTATTGTATAATTAGTTTAATATGGCTTAGCATTTAATTTATATTAATATAAAATGTAATTTAATTTATATGATAATTCAGTATAATTCAGTAATATACATAACATAATTTACATATATTTTTCATAATTTAATAGTCTTTTGTATAATTATTTTAGTATTATCTCTTATCTCTGTTGTCTTTGCTTTGGATAAGGTCATACAGATCTTTCCATGGGTCTAAGAGTTCCATGTGTTCTTTGCTTATAATCCAATAATTTTCCATTTTATTCATGTATCATAGTTCAGCTGTTTCTCAGTCATGAATATCTGATTTGTTTCCAGGTTTTGTTTTGTTTTGGTATCACAAAAAGGAGTGCTGTGAAGATTTGGGCATCTATGGGACCTTTCTGTCTTTTGATCTCCATGTCCAGTAGTGAGATGGCTGGATCAAGAGTATAAAAATTTTAAAGTGACTTTCCCATCAAAAGTGCATATCTAATTAGTGGCACAACTGATATCAGAACCCAAGCCTCCTTGCTGTTAGTCCAAGGCTCTTTATTATATCATTTTGGGAACATTTGAAACTAGGGAGGGAGGGAACAGTGTTGGTGGGAAGGCTAAGAACTCTGGGGGTCCAGGGCTGGTGGACATGTGTTCATTCATAGGACCACAAAAGTAATATGTTTCACATCTATAAAATGAATCTAAATTATAACCTGGACGTAATTGTCCAGTGAGCTGATGCATGCAAAGTGCTTTGTAAACCTTTAAGTGTTATATTATTGCCAACCAGCCACTACTTGACCGAGTGGTCCAGTATTTTATCAGAGGCTCCTTACTGACGTCACTGACTGGTTTTTACCTTGGTAGCCCCAGTCATGCACAGGTGATACTCTTATAGGTGACTGGTACTAGAGGATCAGGCCCCCCTCTTTGTGGATACATTGGCCTTAGGCATTGACTTGGCTTCCCCAACCTTTATTCTCACAATCTTCCATCTGGTGTGAGAAACGTCATTCTCGGGCTCGGGTGGGAAAGAGACTTAGGGGAGTACAGCTGGTATGTAGCAGAGAGCTAACTCTCCTCCTACTGAAAACCAGAGATATGTTGCATTTCTTCTGTGGGAAGCTGGGAAGATACTCTGAATAATCAGGAACTAGGAAGGAAGTCAGTCACCTCTCCAGCTCCCACAGACCTGGCTTGGGTCTTCCTAGGTTCTCTGCAGGAAGGATGATGCTTGAGGAGTTTGGAGAGGTGGCAGTTGATGAAAGACAAAATTTGTAGTGAGATGGTTAGTTAGGGAGTTAGCCCTCTTAGGGCACTGGGACTGGGGACTAGTGAGTCAGGGTTTCTTAGCTTATCTTGGGGGGACCTAGGAAGAAAGGTGAAGTCACTTCTTTAGCAGGAAAGAGAATAGGCCCCTTGTTTGTAGGCTCTCTGGAAAGCTGTTGTGTTTGGGGGCAGGGAGGTGAGGGGTGACATGTAGCCCTAGGGCTTCCAACATGTAGACCTGGCTTTGCCCCTTTGCTGCCCATGTGGTGTTGCCAGGTCATTGAGGAGCCAGAGTGAGCAGGGTGGGGAGAGAATTCTTCCCATTCCTCTTCTTGAGTCTTCCTTGGTCCTGATCTGGATCTCCTTCCTTGCAGAGACTGGAGGGAAGCAGCATGCAGGCAGAGGAGGGTACTGGCTGGTTGCTTGAGCTATTGGCCGAGGTGCAGTTACAGCAGTACTTCCTTCGTCTCCGAGATGACCTCAACGTCACCCGCCTGTCCCACTTTGAGTATGTCAAGAATGAGGACCTGGAGAAGATTGGCATGGGCCGACCTGGTACGTAGGGACACTGCTTTTTGTTCTTGACCTTGCCCTATTTTCCATTCTCTGGTCACATTCCTCACCTGCCTTTTGACTTCCTTTACCCTCAAGACTGGCCATTTTCCAGCCTGGTTCCCCTCTATTTGCTGTTGGGGGCAGGCAAGAGATCAGAGGAAAACTGGGAATTCTGTCAGTACCACCCTGGAGAGTCTAGGTTTTGGGGAAGGCTTAATTAATCAAGCAATTAAGCACTTATTAAGCAACCTTCTACATGCCAGGTGCTGTGTTAGGCGCTGAGTACACAGAGAAGACAAAAGTGAAAGTGCCTGCCTTCAGAGGGCTTACATTCTAACAAGGGATTGGAATGCCCCTTTCCTAATTTAGCATTGTCACCACCCTGGTACAGGCCCTTATCCCCTCACACCTGGAATATTGCAGTAGCCTTCTGGTGGTTCTCCATGCCTCAAGTCTCTCTACTTTCTTCAGCCATAATATTAATATTTCAAAGACTCAGGCATACCCTGTCCCCAAATCCCCGATTCAGTAAACTCTAATGGCTCCCTCTTACCTCAGAGATCAAATATAAAGTCTTCTGTTTGGCTTTTAAAGCCCTTCATAACCTGGCCCCTTCCTACCTTTCCAGTCTTTTCAGACTTTATTCCCTACCATGTACCGTGATCCAGTGACATTGGCCTCTTTGCCGTTTCTTGCACAGGGACTCCATCCCCTGACTCCAGGCATTTCCACTGGCTTTTCCCTATGTATGGAATGCTTTCCCACCTATCTCCACCTCCTGGGCTTCCCTGGTTTCCTTCAAGCCCCAGCTAAAATTCCACCTTGTACAGGAATCCTTTCTCCATCTCTATAAAAATGCACTCTGTTGATTATTGCCAGCTTTGTGTATATCTTGTTTGTCCGTAGTTGTTTGCATGGTGTGTCTACCATTAGATAGTGAGCCCCTTGAGACTGTTTTTTGCCTCTTTTTGTATCTCTGGTGCTTACTTAGCCCAGTGCCTGGCTCATAACAGGCACTTAATAAATGCTTATTGATTTGGCTAGGGGAGACAGTCTATTGACTTGGAATGAAGTCCTTATAGATAAAAGAATCACAAAATTGGAAGAGTTTTTAGAGGTCATGATGAGCAATCCGTACTTATGCAAGTATATGACTGAGTGTAACTGATTTCTACTAGCCTTGGGTTAATAGGATATCTCATAGAAGATAGCTGGAGTCAGATCCATCTGGTAGTTCTGGCTGCAGGAGCAATCTCATGGTCACCCAAGAGATGAGGAAGTTTTTGTGCTTAAATCATGTCCCATCAAGGGATCATGCCCTTCTTAAGTCTGCCTTTCTTAAGGAAAGGAACCCATTCTCTCCCAAGGAAGCACGTTCTCTTCTGGGTCAGCTTGCGTTGTTGGGATGTTTCATGTTGAAGTGTGCTGCTCTGCAACTCCCCACCCCCATCCCCTTGTCTTAGCTCAGTCATCTTGGGTCAGATTGCCTCTTTTTGTATCCCTAGTGCTTAGCACTGCGCCGGACACATTGTCTAGTCGTTTTCAGTCACGTCGGACTTGGCAAAGATAATAGAGTAGTTTCCTTCTCCAGCTCATTTTACAGATGAGGAAACTGAGGTAGAGTTAAATGACTTGCCCAGGATCACACTGCTAGTAAGTGTCTGAGGCCAGATTTGAACTCAGGAAGATGAATTTTCCTGACTCTAGGCTGTCCACTTTTCCACCCAGTAGGTACTTAATACATGTTAATTGAATTGAATTGAATCAAAGAGACTATTTCATGTGAGAACCTTCCAGAGTTATTGCACCAAGCTTGGTCATCCCTTTACATGTAGTATGTACCTGGTTGGTGTTTGTTGATTTTTTTGGTTGGTTTGTGGTGAATGTGCTTGCTTTATAAAGCTAAAAACTCTATATCACACACATATGTGTTGTCAAGGATGGGGTGGTCATGCCAGTTAAACTATGTGGTTTGTGTTTGCTTTAAACCTTCCTTAAGATTCATTAGCCTGTTTCACACTTTGCCTTTATTAAGTGTGATATAATCGTACCTTTCTTTGATTCAAGCTCTTGAAAGGCTTCAGGGTCGTGTGTGTGTGTGTGTGTGTGTGTGTGTGTGTGTGTGTGTGTGTGTGTG